GATATCCACATATTCTCGACTTACATTTGATTCGAGCTGGTGAGAGAGTGAGCCAGTGAGTGAGTTTAGTTTTACGCCGCACTCAGCAGTATTCCAACTATTATGGCGGCGGTCTGTAAATAATCGAGTTTGGACCAGACATTCCAGTGATCAACAGCATGCATGAGCATCGATCTGCGCAATTGGGAACCAATGACATGTGTCAACCAAATTAGTCTGACCACCCGATCCCGTCAGTCACCGCTTACGACGAGCATGCATGGGTTGCTGAAGATCAATTCTAACTGGGATCTTCACGGGTCAGTTAGTAGGAGAGTGGGGGAGTGAGTTTGTGGGGGAGTGGGTAAGTGAGTTAGTTAGTGAGAGTGTTGGTGTCTGTGAGTGAGTAAGTCCGGAGATCAATTACTAAGCTTGACATTGCCCTATAAAATCCAAACACAGACACCAAAAAGTTGTTAATGTCAAATCAAATCAATTTTTGGGGTAAAATGTTAATATTTTTCAAGATATCACAAAATGAATGATTAACGAAATCCGATTATACACAAAACCATTAGCATATCACAAAGTTATTTTAAAATATGAATTCATTTATAGATAGCTTAAAATCGAATTAGTACTAAAAAGAATTATTTATGAAATATAATCGAATTTGTGATAATACTTCATTTAATGATATCAGTTAATGAATTATGAATACACTCCACGTCAGATGAATCACACATTCATTTAAAACGCAAATATTATGGATGACAATTTCTTCTTTATTGTATATCACAACGTTTCTGGACTATTCCTTGCCCCTTCGTCAGGTGAATTGTAACAAACAAGATACATCAATGAGTATATATAGAGAATCTCACCTGAGTGTCTTTTGATATCAAATATACACCACGAGTTGATAAAGTTACAAATATCCGAGGCTTGCCGAGAATATTTTACTTTTATCAACGAGTGTTGATATATTTGATATCAGAAGACACGAGGGTGAGATTCTACTTATCATAAAAGAATCACTCTTCATTAGTTTTCAATGAAAATGTACATCTCTGAACACAGTACTGCCATTAGACTTGTAGTGCAGCGATGTCATAGCATTGTGACGTCATCAAGTTCATGACGTCATAGCATTGCCAGGGCATTGTACAAAATCTACTGTCTCCGAGGAGATATCGTTTATTATCTTACCTTCATGTGAAATACTTTAATTTCATTGGCCAATGACGCTTAAACAAGTTTCCGTGTCACCCCTCCCAGGAGGGTGACAACTGGAAAAAATATTACCCACCGCCAAGGTAACCGCCAAACTCTCCGCCAAGAAGCTGTATGCTAACAATAGTATGACGTCATAATGTGACGCATGCAGTGTCCGGAGTTCTAAAACCGTTCGATTAGCTGTTTTTGAGTTCACTATGTACAGACTTATTTTACCGACTTTCACTGCTTTATTTAAACTATTTTATACATTGAATCGTTTGCACACTCAACTTAAACATAATCAACAATTTCTATAGCAGTGTTAACTTTGTCACTGATTTAAAAAATCCAGTCGAGGGGCAGACGCCATTTTGTTTATATAGTCGGTAGCGATCTTTAAAATAAAAAAAATATGATAGTTTGTACATTTAACATGGCGGTAAGATAAATACGTTGTATGCTTCTCCCTCGGGTAATACGGTCTGATGTACACCTCTTTGTAGCAGTGTCATCCCCGGTCTACCGGCTCCGGTAACATTGCTACAAAGAGGCGTTCATCAGACCGTACCGGCTCGGGTGACACTGCTTCAAAGAGGTGAGGTGAGGTGAGGTGAAATTGGGTTTAGCGTCGTGCTTGAGAATATTTCGCTCATATGACGACGGGCGTGCGTGTGTATGTGTATGTGCGGCTGCTTGTACTAGCCCAGACTGAAGCTGGTTTTATACTGCTAGCCCACTGAGATACCATGCCGCAGTGAAGCATGAATACCCCACTCAGACACATTATACTGACTCCGAGCCGACCAGTCCTTGTTGTACCCATTAATGCCGAGCGCCAGGCAGGGACCAACAAGTATCATATTTTAAAGTGTTTTGGTATGACGCGGTCGGGGATCGAACCCGCGACCTTCCGCTCTCCGGGCGGACGCTCTAACCACTACACCACGGGGCGGTCCGCTACAAAGAGGCGTACATCAGACCGCATTACCCTCGAGAGAAGCATACAACCTATAATCGCACACAAGCAATATCTCCTGTGGAACACAGTTTCGGATGATAAATACTTAATGTACAATGCATCTCAAGAACCTCACACATTCAGCCCTTTATGTAGGTGGGTAGCTAGGGTATATACAAACCCCGCAAACCATAGATAAGAAATCGTGGCGAGTAATTATAAACTAAGAGTGAGACGGTGAGTTTGTTTTTGCACCGCGTTTAGCAGCAATCGTCGTCGTCCTCCCCCTCCTCATCAACAACACCACCATCACCAACTGTTCCAGTACGTGAGGCCGTGGCTCCTTCTGTATGTACATACACCAAAGTGAGTTTGGTTTTACGCCGCTTTTATCAATATTCCAGCAATATCACGGCGGGGGACACCAGAAATGGGCTCCACACATTGTACTAACATAGGGAATCGAACCCAGGTCGTCGGCGTGAAGAGCGAACGCTTTAACCATTAGGCTACTCCACACGTGATTGACATGATTTCTGCTTGTAAAGAACTGGATTAGAATTTATCTTCGAATTTCTAAGGCGACTAACGGAATGCAGAGGCGCTTATGAACGTCCACATCATGATTAAACACTTATTGTTACAGGAACGTATTTTCAATTGTGTTGAGTTACTTGTTTAAACCGTTTGGGGTCTCCTCACTGTGCAGGCACCTTTCGTTCATACTTACTGAAGCACTCAGGCGTATTAAACGACCAAACAAAGGGATTACTGGGGGGACCGTATCAGTATTTTCTGTCTGTCTGTATTTTACAAAGTTAAATAAAACTTTCTTCAACACAGTAACACACTCAGTAGTGGCACAGAATTGAGTCAAACTTTTACTTTTAACACACTAAACACTTTAAACAGAGTAACAGGTCAACAATGGAAGAAATAAGCACTGGATTGGGAATAGCACTGAATGGACAACATTTCATGATAGCACTGAATTACAATTAAAGTCCAACTATATGTGACATGCAGTCGGCAAATTCCATTGGAGTTTTCGCACCATTTCCGAGTAGAATTTTCTGCCGCACCGGGAGCCTGCTTAGCCCCGTGTAGGATCTGAAGCATTGTTGTCTCAGTGTGGCTCTGCTCTCTTCGGATAAGGTCAATGAATCTATATATGTTGGGTGATTCTGGCCAAGTTTGCTTAGCCTTGCATGTCATCCCTCGACATGATTTGTGGTCCTGGCACCCACAGTGTGGAAGTGATTCCACACCTGTGGTTTAAACATATTTTTATTTCGCCAAAGCAGAAACCTGGATAGGCGAACAAGCCTAGTGGCTTATATTAACGCCGCTCCAGTACATTGTTCAAAATTAATAGCTGGATACATAATGAAATAGTTTGACAACAAAAGAATAATACCATAACAAATATATGATTGAGTAACAAATATGTTCGTTCTGTTGTTGGTTATGCCTAGCAACGAAATGGGCTGCCGCAGAAAATCACGTTATATAAAATTTGTCTTACACTCAATATATATGTTGTGGGTATAATCACTGGAAGCGGTTACTTTTAGAAATGAACTGGTGTAATGAGTTAAGAATGTCACTATTAGTTGAGTTATTCAATGCGCCGTTACCGTATAAAGTAGTTTTAACATCATATCCTTGAATATAAAAATACACAGTTGTTCTTAAATTTTGATAGTTCCGACATGTAAAAGGTAGTGAATAACGTCTTCGTTATAATAACCACATGAGCACCTGGGTGTGTCCGATATATGCCGATTATATCTGTCTGCGTTTAGATCACTACAGCCGAGCTTGAGGCGACAATGAATGATTTGACAAAATCTAGTTCCAAAATTCAAGTCAAAGTAATTGTGAGTTTCTGTTGTGTTTATCATGGTTTAAATTGATTCAGGGAAATAGCGTTAACAGCTCCATCAGGCAATGAATTCCACGTCATAATCGCGCTCGGTAGAAATGATTGAGAATATCTGCGCGTTCTACAATTAATAGTTTGAATGGAAGTACTATTTGTAAGATTATAGTTACTTTGTTCGAATACTCTACCTGGTACAAGATCGTTCAAATAATCAGGAGTCAGAAGATGATACATTTTATAGAAAGTTATGATTTTAGAACGATGTCGTCTTTCTTTCAGTGTGCTATAATTAGTTTCCCTGTATATTTTATCGTGACTGGTGCCACGAACCGCACCGCTTATAGTTCTGAAGGCGTCTAAATGTAAATGTTCCAGTAAAATCGCCTGTTCAATCGTACAATTATCCCATATATGACAGCAGTAATCAAAAAATGGTAAGATAAAGGAGTTGTATAAAGTATTAAGCGTTTTCCGAGATAAACAATATTTCAAACTTCTCAGACAATTGATCATTGGACTAATTTTCTTTATCATGTCACCTATATGAACTTTCCAAGAACAATCGCTTTGAAGTGTTATACCTAAGTGTTTATGGTTATTCACTTCTTTAATAATTTCACCATTCATTAATAAGTTTGGTCTGACATAGATTTGCGTTTTACGAGTGAATGTTATACTCACAGTCTTACTAGGATTAAAACCTACTTGCCACTTTTTAGCCCAATCTGAAATTTTTGCCAAATCATTGTTTATAATTGCGGCTGCTGTAATATGATCATCTATTATAGCATATATTGATGTATCATCAGCAAATAGGCGGATGTTACTATCTATACCATCCACTATTCCACACCTGTCTACCAGGACCCTCAATCCCCTGCAGTGTCCCATAGTCCGCAAACTGGTTCACACTTGGGTCATTCAGATAATTCAGTGTTCACAGCACTGAGCCACACATCGTCAATGTCTACTGGTCTCACCAGTGGCAAAGCGGAAGCAATTCTCACAAAATTGGCTTTTCTGAACATTTCTCCAGATTGCCTGCCTGAAGTGGAATACACAGTCTTTCAGTTGACACCGAAACACGTCTTTGATGGCGTTCTGGGCTGCAGGGTCAAAGTCTGTAAAAACAAATGCAGGGTGAAGATGGATTTTCAGCTCTGATGACTTCTCTTTAATAATGCTGAAGAATCTATGGTAGGTTGCCTCTTTCTTGTCTGGAAGAAGTCCATAAATCAGAGGGAACATCTTGTTGTTGACCATGGCATGGATCGTGTAGAGCTGATGGTAAATACTAAGGCTTTCACTGAAGGTGCCGTCGCAATAGAAGGTGTTGGCTCTGGAAAGGTGATGTAGGTTGGAGGTTGTGGTGAAGATGGTCATCTTGTCGTCAGCATGGAGGATGAAGTTTTCACCGGACAAGGTCTGAGTGTAGTTGTCGGGAATGTTGACGTCTGATCGCCGTCTGGGAAGAGGTGGCAGTTCTTTTGCTCGTGATCTGTAGAGGCTGGCCTGGGCGCTGTAGATTGTCGGAGCAACAGCAGCAACATCTGGCCCCAATTTCTCGAAACAAACTTAAGTTTTTACTCAAATTTCAAACTGAGTTGGACAATTTGAAACAGATGAATTTTTAACTCAACTGCATTTTTTAAATAAAAAAGTGCAAACAACTTAAGTAATCTATCCACCAAACTCAAATTGTCTACTATGTTTGAGTTTAATGTCGATTTTAGTTCATTCTGGGAAATGCGTTTTCTCAAATTTGAGTAAAAACTCTAACTTAAGTCGAAACTCAGACTTAGGTTCGTTTCGAGGAATCGGGGCCTGGTTTCTCAGAAATGAGACCTAATACAAGATATCAAAGCATAGTTATAAACTTGTCTTGAAAATAAATCTCGCTTGTAGTCTTATCAAACAAATATCAAACTTGATCATATGCTTCAAATTGGCAAGGAATGTGTCCACTGTGATCTTGCTATGGTTTGCCGGATGGTTGTGGGTGTTTAGATATGTCGTAATAAGATCATTGGCAGTGTTGATGGTTGCGCGACAGCCTGTCTTGCAACATCCTCAATGCACAATGTTGCGTCTCTTCTGTATTCTAAACTTTTAACCTTGATAGACAAGGTTACGACGTATTCGGAATGAACTCTAGATTTACTTGAACATTAGCCATGGTGATGAATGACAGTGACTAAGCATTTTCCTGCGTAATATTTAGCTGTGAACAAGATGAATTTTATTCAGTGACATTATTGAACATGGATAATTGGTGAGTTGATATCAGTCTGACAATCTATCAGCTTGGAATCTGTCCCTTGGCCATGAGTTAAGTTCAGCTAAATCATGGGACGACCCCTTTCCTTCAAACAAGGGGCGGTGGGGTAGCCTAGTGGTTAAAGCGTTGGCTCGTCACGCCGACGACACGGGTTCGAATCCCCACATGGGTACAATGTGTGAAGCCCATTTCTGGTGTCCCCCCGCCGTGATGTTGCTGGAATATTGCTAAAAGCGGCGTAAAACCAAAACTCAGCCAGTCAGTCCTTCAAACAACATCACTAATCCTAACCCTAATCCTAATCCTCTGCAGGCTGCCTCCACAGAGAGGATAAACCACTTGTTTTGCACCACTTTCACCAGTTCATTATTAGTCTTCGGTCTATGTCCGTAAGGAAAACACCTCCATTAGCATTAGTCCCGAAAAGTCTCCTTCACCAATAACATTGCTACTCGCACTGTCATTAAACCGTTATTCTGGGCTACCCGTGAGTAAGAGGCGATTAACGGGATCGGGTGGTCAGGCTCGCTGACTTGGTTGACACATGTCATCTGTTCCCAATTGCGTAGATCGATGTTCATGATGCTAGGGCTGCGCAATATAACCGGTTTACCGGTATTTACTGGTTCAGACATGAAATCGATACGTATTGCGATACGCTGATCGAAAACCGGTATTTCGACATACATTCGGAAAACTTTGTAACACTCGGAAATGTTCGGATATTTTCGTTTTTCACACCGGAAGTCAAGTTAAGTTCGGTTTGAAGTTGTTTTCTAAATTTTTCTTCAAGTGTTTCGCAATGTTTTAAATACTTACTCATTAATGTCCAGTGATCTCTGCCTGACCAGGTCAAGTTGCTGTCTAAAATCTCAGGGCTTTTTTAAGAGTGGAGAAACTAGTTCAAACTAGTAACCACTGTGTTGATGTTAAATTGTTCCTTTCCTTGTTTCAACTCGAGTATAAGTAGTTTTTTTTGTTTAAAACAAATCTTGCAATATATTGCAATACATATTACAATATATGCTTTCGCATCGCAATATATCGCAATATGAAAGTTCACTGCAATACCCACCCATACTCATCACTGGATTGTCTGGTCCAGACTCGATTATTTACAGACCGTCACCATATATATAGCTGGCATATTGCTGAGTGCGGTGTAAAACAATAAACCAACTTTTGGGTGCCGGAATCAGGATGAAGTGAGACCGGAAGCAACACATCGTATCTCCAAAACTGAACGACATCAACATTGGCAAAACGACACATGCAAATCCCTGTTTTGCTATTTTAAGGCCAAAACATAAACGTGTCAATTTATCAAAACAATCCAAATGGAGGACACTAAATGGTGTGTGATTACGTCTGACTGTGAGTTACTATATGCAGTTATTACGTCTGCAGTCATAGACTGGATAAACGAGTTACTCGATATTGAAGTTAGTGACGTGGTTTTAGGCAGTATTCCAGCAATATAGCAAATTTAACTGGATTAACGGGGGCTGCGTGAACAACCCAGTCGAAGCCCCAAGTTGAAGATATAGGTTGCGTTGCTGTCGCCAGACAAAGATGTTTCAAAATCTCGGTTAAGCTATTATCCATTGTTGTGTTTTTATCATCCTTGTACCCTCCATCCGCAATGACCGCCTCCGTGGTGTAGTGGTTAGTGCGTCCGCCCGGAGAGCGGAAGGTCGCGGGTTCGATCCCCGACCGCGTCATACCAAAAGACGTTAAAATATGGTACTTGTAGGTCCTGGCCTGCCTGGCGCTCGGCATTAATGGGTACAACAAGGACTGGTCGGCTCAGAGTCGGTATAATGTGTCTGAGTGGGGTATTCATGCTTCACTGCGGCATGGTATCTCAGTGGGCTAGCACTATAAAACCAGCTTAAGTCTGGGCTAGTACAAGCAGCCGCACATACACATACACACGCATGCATGTTGTCATATGAGCGAAATATTCTCAAGCACGACGTTAAACCCAATTTCACCTCACCTCACCTCACCTCACCTCACCTCACCACCTCCATCCGCAATTGCATGACAGTTTGTTCTTTAACGCTGAAATCAACAAAAAGCCCAGCAGTCTGTAAACATCCAGCCTCGACAAGCATTCCAGTGATCGACATCATGAACATCGCTCCTGGCAGCTGGGATACGATGAAATGCTTGAATCAAGACAGCGAGTCTGACCACCCGGTCCGGCGCCCCTCGTGATAACTATTGGGCGGTGGGGTAGCCTAGTGGTTAAAACGTTGGCTCGTCACGCCGAAGACCCGGGTTCGATTCTCCACATGGGTACAATGTGTGAAGCCCATTCCTGGCATCCTGGGGGGCGGTGGGGTAGCCTGGTGGTTAAAGCGTCCGCTCGTCACGCCGAAGACCCGGGTTCGATTCCCCACATGGGTACAATGTGTGAAGCTTATTTCTGGTGTCCCCTACTGTGATATTGCTGGCATATTGCTAAAAGCGGCGTAAGACCATACTCACTCATGACAACAATGGGTTGAAGAAGACCAGTTAACCCGGGTTTTCGCGGGCTTGAGAAAGGTTGTAGCAATTACGATGATGTCAAAGGAGAAGGCACACCTAACTATACTCATGCCAATAATGGCCATGGTTGTCACCCCCTTCAATTTTTTTATTGGAGAGGCGTGCGGGGGTGTGGGTGTGGTGTGTGGGGTTGGGGTGGGGAGGGGTGACAACCATTATTGGCATGAGTATTTATGCACTAGTCTGATCAGCTGAAATAACTAACATTCAATACATGCACACCTTATTTGCAGCCAAGGATTTGAAAATACATGAAAAATGGAATTGGTGCGTACACTGACAGTTATCTGTAAAATGTATTAGGGGTGGGTATTGCAGTGAATTTTCATATTGCAATATATTGCGACGCGAAAGCATATATTGTAATATGTATTGCAATATATTGCAAGATTTGTTTTTAAAAAAAACCTATTTATACTCGAGTTGAAACAAGGAAAGGAACAATTTACCATCAACACAGTGGTTACTAGTTTGAACTAGTTTCTCCACTCTCAAAAAAGCCCTGAGATTTTAGACAGCAACTTGACCTGGTCAGGCAGAGATCACTGGACATTAATGAGTAAATATTTAAAACATTCAGATCCAAAACATTGCGAAACACTTGAAGAAAAATTTAGAAAACAACTTCAAACCGAACTTAACTTGACTTCCGGTGTGAAAAACGAAAATATCCGAACATTTCCGAGTGTTACGAAGTTTTCCGAATGTAAGCCCTAAAATGTATCAAACAGAAATAGAGGATATTATATGAGTGCCCATGTCATACTATGTTTACGACACGAGTGCCTAAATGTTGGTATTTCCCAAGTGAGAGCGAGGCATATACCGATATTTAGGCACGAGTAGTGAACACAGTATGCTATAGCCACGAACATAATATTCTCTTCATTACCGAAGTCGTCAAATTGAGGAAAATAAACCCAAATCTACTTTCAAACATAGGCTGGCTGCCCGCCGTAGCCGCATGTTGAACGCAATGTCACAGAAGAAACGTGACGTCATAGCATTCTTTGTTCATGACGTCACGCCACCATGACAAAGTGATATTTTGCCCTTTGGCATCTTATGAAATGTATGAACCCCGATATCTTCGCGCTCGTAGGTAATGAGGTAAAATAGTCTCACGGCGACGCTAATATTTTACGCCAGCTTCACCTAACAAATGGTAGCTGAACAATCCGTGGCTTGCTCGCATGTTGTGCTCTCACCCCATCTGTAAAGTGGTTGTGTCGCTGTGAACGGGTTGTGATTACGCTGTCTGTGAGTGGGTTGTAAGTTGTCGGTGCTTGTGAGAAGATTGTGTGCGAGTCAGTTGTAATAGAAGGTTGTCAGCAGGTTGTGAGTCATAACGTGTGGGTGTGTTATCAGCGGCTTGTTATAGCCTGTTTCCAGTGAAAACGTACCGATGAATTTCACTTTAAACAAAAAAGTAAATCAAATAGTTTCAAATTGCTATTATTGGTTTGTATTACAAGGGGGGTAAGCGCAGTAGTTGGAACAGTGAAACAAATGCACATGTGGTACGTGATGAGCGTTAACTTCGACCAACTCTACTTGTTCTCGGTGTTTCATTTAATGTGCATACCCCCTTGTGATACAAACCAATAAAAGCGATTTGAAACTATGATCGTTTGTTAAACAACTTTTATCCTAAGTTGAATATAATTATGAGATTTAAATGTTCAATTGGCAGGTGAATTTATGAGGATTTGCAATCTTAATTTCACTTTATTCGATTTACTTTTTTGTTTAAAGTGAAATTCATCGGTACGTTTTCACTGCAAACAGACTGTAGTTTATTCGATTTACTTTTTTGTTCAAAGTGAAATACATCGATGTGTTTTCACTGCAAACAAACTATAGTTGTGAGTAGGTTGTCAGTAGGCTGTGAGTTCTGAGTTGGTGAGTTTGGTGTGAGTTGGTTGGCTATGAGTGAGTAGGCGAGGTGAAATGGGTGCTTATGTTTATTTTGCTCATATGACGACGTATGTGTATGTGTGACTGTTTTTACTAGCCCAGACTTAAGCTGGTTTTATAGTGCTAGCCCACTGAGATACCATGCCGCAGTGAAGCATGAATACCCCACTCAGACACATTATACTGACTCCGAGCCGACCAGTCCTTGTTGTACCCATTAATGCCGAGCGCCAGGCAGGGACCAACAAGTACCATATTTTAACGTCTTTTGGTATGACGAAGCTGCGGATCGAACCCGCGACCTTCCACTCTCCGGGCGGACGCTCCAACCACTACACCACGGAGGTGGTCTATGCGCGAGTAGGTCATAGTTTAATGAGTGAGTTGTGAGTGAGTGAGTCAAGTTTTACGCCACTTTTAGCAATATTCCAGCAATATCACGGCGGGGGACACCAGAAATGGGCTTCACACACTGTACCCATGTGGGCGATGAGTGGGTTGTGAGCATCTTACTGTGAGCTAACGGATCCTCTTACAACTACGGAGTACGAAAACGTTTTCAACAACCAGCATAGCTTCGATAACATTGTCTCATCCATTATGACAAATCACGCACCACAAACATATGCTTGTGATTTGTTGCTAAACATATCAGACAATCCAGTGATCAACAACATGAACACCGATCTACGCAATTGGGATACGATGACATGTGTCAGCCAAGTCTGCTACCCTCACCACCCGATCCCGTTAGTCGCCTCTTACGACAAGCATGTGTTACTGGGGCGGTGGGGTAGCCTAGTGGTAAAAGCGTTGGCTCGTCACGCCGAAGACCCGGGTTCGATTCCCCACATGGGTACAATGTGTGAAGCCCATTTCTGGTGCCTCCCGCCATGATGTTGCTGGAATATTGCTAAAAGCGGCGTAAAACCAAACTCAGTCAGTCAGTCAGTCATGTGTTACTGAGGACCAATTCTAACCAGAGTTCTTGCAATGCCTACTAGACTGGCATCTTTGCAGTAAACCCGAGTTGATACAGACCACGTTAGGTGGACAAAAATGTAAGTTTTCTAAGAAAAACAACTCTATACAGCAAACTGCAGCTCATAAAACGACTGAGAAGCATATGCTTGTTTCTTCTCTTAACGGCGCGGGGCGGTGGGGTAGCCTAATGGTTAAAGCGTTGGCTCGTCACGCCGAAGACCCGGGTTCGAATCCCCACATGGGCACAATGTGTGAAGCCCATTTCTGGTGTCCCCTGCCTTGATGTTGCTGGAATATTGCTAAAAGCGGCGTAAAACCAAACTCAGTCAGTCAGTCTTAACGGCGCAAGGGTGGTGGGTGGCCTGGTGGTAAAAGCGTTCGCTTGTCACGCTGAAGACCCGGGTTTGATTCCCCACATGGGTTCAATGTGTTAAGCCCATTTCTGGTGTCCCTGTTATATTGCTGGCTCTGGTGTGAAGTCTTTTAGGTAGGGGTGAGTGAGTGAGTGAGATACAATTTTACGTCGCATCGGCATTATTTCAGCCATATAGCGACGGGACCAAGTCTATGCATATACAATTTTAGGGAAAAGGTTTAACAGTTTTTTAAAATAAACTCTGTCAAAAAAAGAAACGCAACCCCTGTCCTCAGATATGAAAAATTCGTTTGAATGAAGTTATTGCTTCCAAACTAAATTTTATTCGAATGTATTGAAATGATACACGTAATTAATGAAGATTACCATCCAAACAACTGCATTTGTACGCATAAGTGTATTTTATTGCTTATTCCGTCACAACGCATGAAATGACCCTCATGGTGACTTCGCACAAAAAACACACATGCAAATCATGAAAATGGCAGTTAATGTAGGGGTGTATAAAAGCCCATGTGCTTCCGTATTATATTCATTCATTTGTCGCCGAAAAGCTGTGTTAAAAATGCCACGATTGAGTGCTGCCGACCGAAATATCGCCATTGGTCGTGTTCAAGCCGGAGAAAGTTTTGGAACTGTTGCACGGCACCTAAATGTTCACAAAACAACGATATCCCGACTTTGGAGCCGCTACAACAACTTCAATTTGACCAACGATCGCCCGAGAAGTGGAAGGCCAAGAATCACGACCCCCCCGTCAAGATCGGTACATCCGGGTCCATCACCTGCGTAATCGGCATGCCCTACCAACCGTGACTGCCACACAAATACCAGGTTTGAGGAGAGTGTCAGCTCAAACGATTAGGAACCGTCTGAAAGAAGCGGGTTTACGTGCCTGTAGACCAGTTGTTGGACCTGTACTACGCCCCCTACATCGACGCCGACGACTCAGGTGGTGCAACAACGTAAGGATACGGACTTTACAAAACTGGAGGCGCATCTGGTTTCTGATGAATCACGTTTTCTTTTGCAACGTCACGACGGAAGACAGCGTCTGTATAGGAGACGTCATAAACGTTTTGCGCCCATCTGCGTCCGACAGGTGGACAGATTTGGCGGAGAAAGCGTCATGGTTTGGGGAACCATCTCATACAACCAGAAATCAGACTTGGTGATCGTTCCAGGGAACCTGACAGCCCA